TTTCAGGAATTAAAATCCATAGTTTTCAAAAGAATTTTCCAGCAGGCAGTATCTTAGGTGTTGCTTCTGTCAGATGAAAGACTAGCATCTTTTAGATCATGGATTGTACAGCCTCGTGTGTAGAAGTTGTTAATATGGACTTACTTAGAGAGGAAAGGTAAGAACTGAACGTGCAGCCCCACGACTGACACTTGGGAGCTGAAGGATTGACTCAACTGCCACTCTACTCCATTTAAAATCTTCTGCTGTGTCCTGAGGATTTTTACTGGTACTTCAGTTTAAACTTGTTACCGCAGGTAGTCTGACTGCATCAATTTGTTGTGTGTAAATTGTGCCTTAACATGGAACCTTAGACACATCTACTTCCTCTTTTAAGTTAAGAGTTAAGAACTCTTTCATTTCTGAAATACAAAAATAAAGTCAAAGGGCACGTTTTGGGTTGGGAATCCACCAGGTAACAGTCATTGTGAATAAAACGAGGTTGCATTTTCTTTAAGGTGGTCGTACCCCAGGTGGTGAGTGAGAGGAACGTGCAGAAAAGGTGATTGTGTACTGCTGCAACTGTGGCTGCAACTGTCAAACTGTAGATTCAGCACAAAATCATTTTGGATTGTTTGCTAACGTGTGGCTTTGTCGTTTGCCATTGTCTGGCACAGCTAGTCAAATACAGGCATTTTCCCCTGACATTAAAGAAGCTTAACGCTCAAAATTATTGTTTGACTCTTCTGTAAAAGTCATATTTCCATATGAATGAAGAAATTTATTGACATATACAGCAAGTGCTTTCCACTTACTATTCAGTTAAGTTTCACATCACCTTATCTCTAAAAAAAATCAAGGTCATTGTTCTATTCAAATAATCTGACCAACGTTACTGACATGTTTATAAGCTTCACAGACTGCTGTCATAGGATATCTTTCCTAGGGGGGTTCCAAAACCATAAAAAAAAGATAAATATAGCATGCTTTAAATTCTTTCCATGGCAAATACTGCCTGTAAAATGACATCTGACACATTAAATCCATCCTGTTGAATTTCATCATTGGGTGAAATCATTTAAAATCTAGAATGACAACAGCTAAATATGACCCTAATGCAAGAAACTCCATTCTTTCCACAGAAAATGAAAGAGTGCAGGTATCCTTTTCAGAAAAGGCATTAGGTTTTTTTTAAACTTGAAGCTTACAAATTTATGTAGGAAGGAAATGAAATCCAGGATCGTCTTTGCTCTTGATAAAAATTACTAAAAGCACAGGGCAGGGAATAGATTTAGGAAACCTGCTGTGAAGACCAATATGCATTCACACAACAGGTAAAGATATGAAGGCATGAAGTACACGCTCAGATTTTGGGAATATTTCACATGCAACAATTACACCTTGTGGCTTTCAATGGTGTATCAATAGCATCTGTGTCAAAAAAAGCTCACTGATAAAACCAGCTCTAGGAAGAAATGAAGCTGGGAAGCAAGGCACTGTTCTAAAAACAAGTAAATTACAATATTGGAGACATGAAGAAATAAGAGCAAAAGCTGTGGTTTAGAATATGAGGATTTCAAAGAGTTTTTCAATTTATTTGCGTGCAAAAGAATCTGTTCCCTGAATTTCTTATTGTTGCTTATTCAATTAACACTACTGTAATCAGAAGGGGGTTTATGTTTCAAAGTTCCACTCTTGGTAGTCGTTTCATGGATGTCCTGGGAGGTACCAAGCATCCATCAGCTTCTTTCACCTCATTTTCTTTAAAAAGAAAACCTGTTTTGCCTCTTCTTTCTGAGGAATGTAGGTGTATGGGAGGGAAACTGGAAAACTACATTTAAAGAAACAATGGCTTTAAAGATTCAAAGTATTAAAATTCCATAATTTAAGAGTGACAATGTTGTCTCAATCAATCACCTCTTCTGCTACCCCCTTTCCCAATATAGATTATCATGAGCAGGCAGACCAGCAGCCAAACTCCTCCCTCTGCTCCCACATCACACACCAGAGACCCAAAAAGTGACAGACAACCAGAGGGAGGAACAAGTCAATGCACTCACCCACCACACAGGATGTGAA